CCACAGCTGCGCCAAACAGACCGTAACTTGATCAAAATTTTAAAATATCTTATTAGCCTCAACTATTCTATATACCACATTTACTTTTTTCTCTAAAACCAAAGCATACTATATGAACCAAAAAAAATTGTAACTTAAGTATTGAATATGAAATTCACAAAATACTTTACCAAAAGATTTGTCTCCACAAAATGAAGTGGAGTTAACAATTAATCAACTCACAAGGTATGAGATTGTAAATCACAATGGTAGAACAGAAATAAAACAATTTCAATCTTCCTAACGCCAAACTATTACTCATACAAGCATGACAAGAAAGCCAAAATCCAATCCCAACCAAAAAAATTGTATCACTACTTTTTTCAAACGGAATGATACTTGAAATGCATAATTGTTTGCAATGATTTAACCAAGCATGAGTAATATTTAGCGATTATTAATGCGAACAAGGGAACATCAATCAAACAATTAAGGAAGATTTACAAACATACCACTTAATTTCAACGTATTTACTATGTAACACGTAAATTTTATTTTTTTACATAAACACCGCCTTACTTATGCATGAAAAGGTGCATTTCACTTATTAAAAGTTAAAATAATAGTATTTTTTTGTGATGTAAAAGATTTGCGTGGTATAAATGTAAAAAATATCAATTGATAGGTATGCATGTAACCCAACAATTAATTGACACATTCCGCCAATGTTTTAAGAATTCATAGGTATGCATGCCAAACTATTACTCATACAAGCATGACAAGAAAGCCAAAATCCAATCTCAACAAAAAAAAATCCTATCACTATTTTTTTCAAACGGAATGATACTTGAAATGGATAATTGTTTGCAATGATTTAACCTAGCATGAGTAGTATTCAGCAATTATTAATGCGAACAAGGGAACGTCAATCAAACAATTAAGGAAGATTTACAAACATACCACTTAATTTCAACGTATTTACTATGTAACACGTAAATTTTATTTTTTTACATAAACACCGCCTTACTTATGCATGAAAAGGTGCATTTCACTTATTAAAAGTTAAAATAATAGTATTTTTTTGTGATGTAAAAGATTTGGGTGGTATAAATGTAAAAAATAAAATGGTGGTATAAATGTAAATTTGGGTGGTATAAATGTAAAAAATAAAATTTAGGTGTCGCACGTAAATACATAAGAATTGATAGGTATGCATGTATCCCAACAATTAATTGACACATTCCGCCAATGTTTTAAGAGCCAACTCTGGTGCTCAACCTCATGGCATTGGAGCACCATTCAGAGATCCCAAGTTCAACCATAATGACATAATCATGTTGATGGTATTCATAACATTAAAAATAATAAAAGATATACCGAAAAATCATTGCCAAACTCAATAAATTGGGCCAAAGTTTGCGCAAAAGACAGCAAAAACAAAGTTAACACTTCATAGCGTTAAAAGTTAAGAAAAAGGAGAAGTAAACATAACAATTATGATGCTGAACGAATTGAATTGGATGTAAATAACAAAACAACCTTTTAACCATAGAAATTAGGAGCATTTACATAAATAACACCCAATTCCTATGTATTTACATATCTAATGAGAAAAGTGTCAAAATGATCTCCCGGCTCTTAGCAAGGGAGTCATTTAGTCCATGAATTTATAAAAGTGTCAATTAAGTCTCAAACTATTTTAATATAGGTTGAAATAGTCCCCAGTAAAATTATTTCAACTCCCATTAAAACAGTCGGAGAACTAATTTAGCATTTTTGAAAACCCTATCTCTTCACTTCATATCTAACACTTAAATTTTAGCTTTTACATTTATACTACCTAAATCTTTTATATCACTTCAAAAATACTGTTGTTTTAATTTCTAAAAAGTGAATACACCATTTCATGCATAGGCAAGGTGGCATACATGTAAAAATTGAATTTAGGTGTGAGACATATAAATTCATAAGAATTAGCTGGTATGTATATAAATCTTCCTAGAAATTAATAGTTACCAAACACTGTGAACAATCATAACCATAATCAACAGCCCCACCAAAAACTCACTTCCATGAACACAACAAACCATGGTTAATATTCAAACAATGATAATCGGATACCTCATTGTTCGGTCGGCCATAATCCACCGGGTCTCTTCCTGTGATGGCCTCCAAAAGTACAACCCCAAAACTATAGATGTCACTCTTTTCATTTAAAAGTCCTGTATTTGCATATTCAGGCGCTACATAGCTGCAAATAAAAGAAAAGCTCAACATCTATTTTCTATATAATTCGAATGAAAATATTTAAAATCACAGCTAAAGCTTTGATGATTTCAAATGATTCTGCAGGATAAGAAATATGGCACAGCATACCCAAATGTTCCCATAACTCGAGTCGTGACATGGCTTTTTCCAGCCCCGAGAAGTTTGGCTAAACCGAAATCTGATACTTTAGCATCAAAATCATCATCAATCAATATATTACTGGATTTTATATCCCTGTGAACCACTTTTGGTTCGATGGCCTCGTGTAAATAAGCAAGTCTGACAAACATAAACAATGCATCTAAAATCAGAAAAAATAAAGGGCGTTTTCATGCATAACACCCAATTCATATGTATTTACACATCTACACCTAAACTTTGTTTTTTGCATTTGAACCACTCAAATCTTTCATATCACATATAAAATACCACCATTTTAACTTTTAAAAGGTGAAATACGCCTATTCACATTAGGTAAGGCGGTATGCATGAAAAAATTGAACTTTGGGTATTAGTTGTGTAAGTACATAGAAATTGAGTGGTATGTATGTAAATCTTCCAAAAAAAAAAACCTAATTTTGTCAAAAGTGGCATAAAAAGTTATGTAACAATCTACAAAGAGAACCAATAAACCATGAAATTATGTCATATGTTTTGGACAAAGTGGCTTACGCCTTTGCAGTTCCTAGGAGAATCTTTACACGAGCATCCCACGTGAGAGAACCCCGCTGGCGCAAAGCTCCATGAAGCCACTGCTCTAAGTTTCCATTATTTACATACTCATAAACCAACATCCTGAAATTTCACACTTCGCATTAGGAAAAGCAATGCAAATTCCAAAATTATATGAAATAAATACAAAAATCCAAAGTTGAAACTAAAATTATACATGAAAAACTTAGAATCATATCCCCAAAGTTAGAAAAGGGTGTATGAAGAACAAAAATTATACAGACTTTATTTTAGCATTTTTGTCAAATTCAACTCAATAATTGTGGAGGAACAAACATAAATTTATACATCAAGAACTATGTTAGATCGTGTCTCACCTTTGAGTGCCTTCCACACAATATCCCAAAAGCCGAACTAAGTTCTTGTGACGAACATGACCAATAGCCTCTACTTCCACTCCAAATTCCTTCTCAGCCTGTCCCCTGCAAGTCATAAAAGCTTCAATTAAAAGATGGTAGAAATCCATAGGCATATTACTTTTTTCTTGGAAAATTTATATACGCAACACACAACTCTTACGTATTTAGATATCTCACACCTAAACTTTCATATTTACCTACAAAGCATTTGGAGCTTTAAACCCCTGCACGAAAAGGAGTATTTAACTTTTAAAAAATGATAATCGTGTTATTTTTTTATGTGATATTAAGGAATTTAGTGCTATGTGTATAAGTATAAAGTTTAGGTGTAGACATGTAAATACATAAGAATTGTGTTCTATGTATTTAAATGCACCATTTTCCTCCTGCAAATAAGAGTACTGATTGCAATCAAAGGACACGTCAAATAAATATGCAAAAGAAGGCCATGCAAAATTACAAATTGTTTAGCAATCTTTTGATAGCCACGGGAGTTCCATTGATGAGACATCCACGATACACAATTCCATATCCACCCTCCCCTATAACATTTTCTTTCGAAAAACGATTGGTTGCAACTTCCAAATCCCGCAAAGTAAACCAATGCCCCCAGCCGAGATGAGAAAACTCTGGAAGGCCCGTCAAAGGTGAAGGAGCAGTTATCGAATACGAAGAAGCTGGTTTGCAAATAGTATTTGTTTCCAAATTTCCTTCTTCGCCGGACTGTGAACCTGCTTCTCTATCAGTGCGACGAAATGAGCCTGAGTGACTACTATCACCGGCATGTTTTGATTTACCCAAATTCAAATGGAGCATGACCTTATCCGAACCCTTATCATTAGATTTGTCGTGAATAGTTAGAAGGATCCCCTCTTGTGGTATAAAATTATCAGCCGAGACTTGTTCCACCCTCACCTCCTTAATTTCCTTAGAAACAGTCGGAATTTGGGTTGCTGGGAGGTATTTCAAGGAAGTTCTAAACCTTTTGCGACTCCGAACAACAAGGCATAATACTAGTATAGAAAGAACGCAAAATATTAAGACTCCAACAGCTATTCCAATCACAACCCAAAGCTTAAGGCCGAAAACATCGGTTTTTTGCGAAAGTTGGCCATTGAGAGAACTTCCAGATGATGACATGTTTTTTATTGCAAAATCCTGCAAAATTAAAGAATATATAATACTTCAAGAAAAGAACAAGGATGAATTTTAACAACACTCTAAGCAAAACCATGCATGATCTGCAAAAATTCCTTAGAGCAACTCTTAAACATGAAGCCAGATACATAAATAGCCAAAAATGCCTATCAAGCTTGAATATAATGTTGAGAATGATGACTAATCTGTAACCCTGACAAATAGAAACAATCTAATAATGCCTATAGATTAACTTGGGGCATTTACAGTGATAGCATACAATTCTAATGTATTAACATTTCTCAAACCTAAACTTTCATATTTATATACACAGCATGAAACATGAAAAATTCAGCTTAAAAAAATCATCACAAATTCAAAACTTGAACAGCAGAGCGGAAGTGAGATCAGTAATCACCGATTAGATCACCGCCCCCAAATAATAAGAATGTTAGAACTCATCTCTTCAAACTCCAATGAAGAAGAAAACTTAACTAAATAAGAGAGAAAATCTTCCCAAAAACCACCATCTATCCCAAATCAGAACAAGATGATAACCCTATGCACAGAACCAGAATCCAAACGACATTCAACATTGTAATCAGGCCAGGATTACAAATCGAGCATCAAAACTCCATTTTTCTTTAAGCAAATCAATCTAAACTTCGATTCAACTTACCTTAACTACGATTAACTCGATCTGTTGTGTTGAACCTCGCCCTTATACCCCTCTATAGAGAGAAGAATAAAATATAGCTCAAACTGAGTGTGGCGGAAGATTCGGTCCCATCTTCTCCGAAATGAACTGAGTTTGTCGGTCGGACCAGTCAGCACTGCTATTATACGGTTGGTATGGGCTAGTGTAGAGAATGAGAAGGAGATGGGACCGCCGAGCTAAAATTAGTTGGAGGTTCGGGATTCAACAAGCAGGAATTCCACAGAGAAACGAAACCCTAACTCAATATTAAAGAGAGAGAGAGAGAGAGAGAGTTATGTGGAGTAAGAAGAAAAGGCGTTATCAGTAGTAGGTGAAGATGGGGAAGATGACTTATCAGTGCAGTAAAAGTACCGTAGAGAGCATCACGCAATTAAACCCTAAAAATAGAATTTTTTTTAAGAAAAAAAAAATTAGATATTTAGAGTTTTCATATTTAAATATGATATTGAAATTACGTAAACTATTTATTTACATTTGAATGTGAGAGATTACCGAATGAGGTTTCATAGATAGCTCTGCATTAGTCCTGAGGCATGACTTATTTATATTTTAAATTTTAATTTTTTTTATTAAAAAATAATTTATCATTTTCTTATATATATTTCTAAATAAAAAATCTTTGTGATTTTAGAATCTCAACATAAATACATCAACTTCAAGTGTGTTGGATTCATATTTGACAATTCATAAAGCATATGTGCTATGGTAGTAAGTCATAGGTGAGCATAACTTTATTAAACAATATGATTTTATTAAGCCGTATTCTAAATTTTATTTATTTATTTTGGAAGATTTACATATATACCATTCAATTATTATGTATTTACAAATCTAGCACCTAAACTTCACTTGTACACACACACCAGCTTACATATGCATAAAAGGTGTATTTTTAGTTTTTTTTAAAAAGAGCTATAATGGTGGTATTTTTTATTTGATACGAAAGATATAAATGGTATAAATGTAAAAAAGTAAAAGTAGGTGCTAGATATATGAATACATAAGAATTGAGTGGTATATATGCAAATGCCCCCATTTATCATGAGCTAGGCCTTTTATCTCCTATTATACATAATCACAATTTATGAAATCACAAAATTTCTCCCTCTCTCTCTCTCTCTCATGCTCATAAATAAACTTCAATTAAATAATCTTTTTCTCTGAAAAAAAAATATATTTAATATGCAACAAATATGTATGCCAAATGTATGGATCGTAATCTTAAGGCCCGTTTGGGACCGCGCTTTTTGCAGCTTTTGATTGCGAAAAAAGAGAAGAAGTGTTTTAATATTTCGAGTGTTTCGTTGGTTAGGGTTGTAGCAAGTCAAACGTCGAAACTTAAGAGGGGGAAGGAGCTTCGCGACTGGAGCTCCGTTGTGATGTGCCTTTGTTGTCAGTATCTCTTCAGATTTCTAATAATCTCACTCTCTATCCTCGTATATACTCTCGCCTCTGTTCTCCTTTGTCACTTGTATCGTTGGGGTTGAAAGTTGGTTTCGCTCCCCTCTCTCCCTTCAACGTCAATCACTTGCTACAACTTTTCAGTGAAGTTTTATTCTCTATGGATTTTTTTTGTGTTTCATTCACTGCCTGCCTCTTTGATTCTTGTTCCTTTTGTGAATTTTGTTGTGTTCTTGATTTGCATATATATATATATATATATATATAGCTTAAGGTATATATATATTGATGTTTGTTGATCGATTAACTTGCTCTTTCGCATGCATATGCATGGATGAACATTTTGTGGGGAGCTTTCTGAGCACCTTTTTTTTCTTTCGTATTGCATATGTTTTGATGCAAAGTTGAACTTTGAAATATAGATTAGTTAACAGCATTTATAATAATTCTGATTAAACAGTAGAAGCTATGTCGTTGAAAATATATGAGTTTTGTTTAACTATTTTTTAAAGAATTATTATTTTAAATATTCTGATTGTGGAGTAACATTTTTTGGGAGAAAAATGTTGAGCACTACTTCATATTTTAAATTTTCTTCTGTTGAGACTTTTATAAATAGAATTGCATATGGTTTGTCGTACGTTTGAAGTTTGCATTATAGATAAGTTAGCAACATTCTTACCTGATATGAACAATCAGTAGAAGCAATGAGATGAAATACATATGAGCAATGCTCATTATTTGTTTTAGTTTTTTGTTGGTTTATTTTTCTTAGATAGGTATATGAGCACCGATTTTCAGTTTATTTAACATATTTTATTAGTTGAATTGTTTGCACTTGCCTCTCTCTCAATATGGAGTAACATTTTTGGGGGTGTTAATTATAACTTCTTTTTTTTTAGTTTAATTGAGACTTTTTAAAAGAGAATTGCACATTGTTTGTTGCATATTTGAAGTTTGGATGATAAATAAGTTAGCAGTATCCTTACATGTTCCGATCAATCAATAGAAGCAATGTAATGAAATATATATGAGCATTGCTCATCTGTTTATTTCAGCTTTTTTCGTTTGTTTATTTTCTTTTGATTGATATATGAGCATTGGTTTTCAGTTTGTCAGACAATTTTTGTTGGTCGAATTGTTTGTTTTTACCTATTGCTTAGTGTAGAGTAATTTGTTGGGGAGAGGATGTTGAGCATTGTTTTTTTTTTTTTTGTTTATCTAAGACTTTTATAAATAGAATTGTATATTTTTTGCTGCACATTTGAAGTATGCGTGACATATAAGTTAACAAAATCCTTACTCGTTCTGATCAATCAGTAGAAGCAATGAGATAAAATATATATGAGCAATGCTCATTTCTTTGTTAGTTAAGTTTTTTTGGATAAATATATGAGCATTGATTTTTCAATTTTCTAACAAATTTTGCTGGTTGAATTGTTGGTTTTTGTTTTCTCCTTAGTGTACAGTAAAATTTAGAGTGAAGAATGTTGAGTACTACTTTTTTTTTGTTTTCTTTTGTTTAGATTTTTATAAATAGAATCACATATGCTTTGCTTCATATTTGAAGTATGCATGATAGATAAATTAGCAGAATCCTTACTTGTTCTGATCAATTAGTAGAAGCAATGTGATGAAATATATATGAGCAATGCTCATTTGTTTGTTTTTGATTTCTTTGTTTGTTAGTTTTGTTTGGATAGATATATGAGCATTGGTTTTTGGTTTTTCTGACAAATTTTGCAGGCTAAATTGCTTTTTCTTGCCCTCCTCAGAGTACAGAACATTTTGGGGTAGAGAATGTTGAGTGCACTTTTTTTTTTTAGTTTTCTTCTGTTGAGGCTTTTCTAAATAGAATTGAATATGTTTTGCTGCACAATTAAGATTTGCATGATAGATAATTCAACAACATTTTTATCTGTTCTTAACAATCCGTAGAAGCAAAGGGATGAAATCTATATGAGTAATGTTCATCTATTCTTTTCATTTTTTTTGTTGGTTTATTTTCTTTAGATATGTATATGAGCACTGGTTTTCAATTTGTCTAACATATTTTGTTGGTCAAATTATTTGTACTTTCCTCCTCAATGTGGAGCAACATTTTGTAGGGGGGGGGGGAATATTGACCGTTACTTCCTTTTTCAGTACATCTGAAACTTTTATAAATAAAATTACATATTTTTTGTTGCATATTTGAAGTTTGGATGATATATAAGTTAATAACATCCTTAATTCTTGTGATCAATTACTAGAAGCAATGGGAAGAATTATATATAAAAATTGTTCATCTATGTATTTAATTTTTTTTATTAGTTTATTTTCTTTTGATTGATATATGGACACTAGTTTTCTGTTTTGTGAGACAAATTTTGCTGGTCAAATTGTTTGCTATTGCCTTCTCCTCAGTGGATTAATAGGGGAAGAATGTTGAGCACTACTTCTTTAAAGTTTGTCAGAGATTTTTATAAATAGAATTATAAATGCTTTGTTGCATATTTGAAGTATGTATGATAAATAAGTTATTTGAATCCATACACGTTCTGATCAATCAGTAAAAGCGATGGCATGAAGTTTATATGAGCATTATTCATCTGTTTATTTTAGTTTTTTGGTTGGTTTTTTTCTTTTGATTGATATATGAGCATTGGTTTTCAGTTTGTCTGGCAAATTTTGTTAGTCTTATTGTTTGTTCTTGCCTCCTCAATGTGGAGTAATATTTTGGGGGGAGAAAATTGAGTACTATTTTTTTGTTTTTGTTTATATAAAACTTTTATAAATAGAATTGCATATGCTTTTTTGCACATTTAAACTATGCAGGATAGATATGTTTGCAGAATCCTGACTCGTTATGATCAATCAATATAAATAATGAGATAAAATATATAGAGCAACTCATCTATTTATTTCAGATTTCCTTGTTGGTTTATTTTGTTTTGATAGATATATGAGCACTGGTTTTTTAGTTTTTCTAACAAATTTTGCTTGTAGAATTGTTTGTTTTTTGCTTCATTCTCAATGTACAGTAACATTTTTGGGTAGAGAATGTTGAGCACTACTCTCTTTTTTTAATTTTCTTCTGCTGAGACTTTATATAAATAAAATTGCATGTGTTTTGCTGCACGTTTGAATTTTGCATGATAGATAAGTTAGCAGCATCCTTAATTGTTCTGAATAATCAATATAAGCAATGAGATGAAATATATCTGAGCAATACTTGTTTGTCAATTTCATTTTTTATCGGTTTATTTTATTTATATAGTTATATGAGCATTGGTTTTCAGTTTCTCTAATATATTTTGCTAGTAGAATTGTTTGAACTATCCTCTTATTCAGCGTGGAGTACTATTTTGAGGGGAGAATTTTGAGCACTATTTTCTTTTTTAGTTTTATTTTGTTGAGACTTTTATCAATATAATTATATACATTTTGTTGCACATTTGAAGTTTTCATGATAGATAAGTCAGCAACATCTACAAATTATTATGAATGTTGTGGAATGAAATACATTTTGACATTTGAATGTTGGGCACCGATCAAACAGTAGAAGCTATGGAACTATAACTTGTTTGTACTATTTCTGATGTTTTATTATTTGTGGATTTTCATGGGTAAATTATATTCATTGTGCACTAGTTAAGCATTTTCCTGCACTGAGAATAACATGTTTTTTTAAAATAAGCTTAACCTTATTCTTTCAAACAAATGGAACCACCAAATGAAGAAGATATTATAGAGATAGTTAAGCAAGAGACAGTCATTACCAATACAGTTCGTCTGATTCATGAGTACTACCGATACATCTTTGTAAGATACCTCATGTCTCATCATCATCTGTGGGTGAAAAATGGATTGGTGAACTATTCTAAGCTCATCCAAGTCGGATTCACAACATGTTTCGGATGCCAAATGTTATTTTCTATAAATTATTAGAT